ATTGCAATTTTGTTTGGTTGCATAGAAAATAGACCTGCCGTGTTTGTTTTCCTAAATCTAGAGAGGGGTGTTTTTTTTTTTTGTTTTTTTTTGGTGTGCTGTTTTGTTTTTGAAGGTACATATTACCATATTTCCTAAACAACACTTCTGTGCTTGTTAAAGGGTACATATTTCACAAACTTTCTTTCAGACAGATGCATGTCATGAATGCATATTTTTGGTGAATGGATTGTACCATGCGCTCCTACACGGTTGTCTTTCTGAGTTCAGATATGCATTCAGGAGGTGTCAATGGGACAAACTCTGGTCAAATAGGAACCAAAATGATTTTCTCCTCCATCTTTACTTGAAACTGAACTGTAGAGATGGACATGAACCAGAAAACTGATGGTTTGTGGCTAACCAGGAACCACCACAAACCCCACAAAAATGGACCGATGAATGGATTGGTTTTCTGGCTGATGCTGAGTGGGGTACCTGCTCCTGCTGCTGCCACCACGAGTCAATGCTCAGAGGCAGGAATGCTGGGCCTGCTGTCTCTGAGGATGACACCCATGGCAACAGAAGGAGCTGGTAAAAAGATATGACAGGGACAATAGGAAAGGGCCAGGCAGGTGTCCCCTTTTGCCGAACCAAACAAAATACTGAAGGGGAAACACAAAAATTTGGTGTTCCATTTTGGTTTGCCAAAACAGGATCCCCCCAAACTGGGTCATGAAAGGAACCACAAATCAGCTCAGTTTGTTGAGTTGTTGTTTTCTTGTTTGTTTGGTTTGTGGTTCATTTTGTACTCATCTCTATTGAACTGTCCTGTTCAAAGGGAATTTTGCTTTGTGGATCAAGTACCGGGGCTAACAAGGAAGGAAGATTGCTTTCATGTTGTCCTTGGAAGACTCCAAATGCATTTGGCTCTCTGCCTTTGATTGTACATGAATGGTGGAGGAGAGGGACATTCTAGATCAGTGGTCCCCAGATGTTCTTGGACTTCAACTCCCAGAAATCCTGGCCAGCATAATTGGTGGTGAAGGCTTCGGGGAGTTGTAGTCCAAGAACATCTGGAGGCCCAAGGTTGGGGACAACTGTTCTAGACATCTCAAAATCTATGGAATTCAACTCATTAGAGAGTTGCTTTCACTACCTCTTGCACAGCTGTTTGCATGCTGTAGTGATCTAGTGCAGTTGTCCTTGTGGGGAGTTTCACTCTGTGAGTCTTATATTAGATTTAGACCATAATCTTCATGGCCCTTTAGGTGGTTTTATTGTTTCATAGGACTGGAACAGCAGATTCATTCGGTAAAGAAATTGGGGAAGAGACTGAAAGAAAAATACACGGAAGAATAACCCTTCTAAACTAACCTCATATATTATACAATAAGGGCATGTGGTGAGAATGGCTGATGGTCAGATTCCAAAAGATCTCCTGCATGGAGAATTAATGCAGGGAAATCACCCCAGAGGGAGACCACAACTGCGATAAAAGGACATCTGCAAGCAGGATCTGAAGGCCTTAGGAATAGACCTCAACAGATGGGAAACCCTGACATCTGAGCGTTCAGCCTGGAGGCAGGTGGTGCATCACAGCCTCTCCCAATTTGAAGAGACCCTTGTCCAGCAGGCCGAGGCAAAGAGGCAGTCCCAGAAGTGGCAAAATCAGGGAGCTGGACAGGGGACAGACTGTATTTGTCCTCAGTGTGGAAGGGATGGTCACTCTCGAATTGGCCTTCTCAGCCACACTAGATGCTGTTTCAAGTCCTCCATACAGAGCACGTTACCATAGTCTCTTGAGACTGAAGGATGCCTAACTAAAGTTCTTATCCACCATCAGGTTTCTTCCAGCTTAGGGTGGCCCTATGAACAGCAACTCCAAAGGAGCCTGATATCTGCATCATTGTCCAGCTCTTACAAAATTGTGGTGGCTTCCTTTACAGAGCAAACCTATCTTCTAATTGCCCTTCTTCTTTTAAAGTACAGATAAATACATAAAGGGACGGGACTTTCTTGTTTTAATGAAAGGAAAAAACACACACAAAATAGGCTCTTTTTTCTCCCTGTTTTTCTTTTTTCCTGTTCTTTTCTGATTCCTACGAGGAACCTTTTGAACAGAAATGTTCCATGTGAACAAAAGAGAGACACACAAAAGTTTAGGGCATTTTTCATGTTTCACTCCGTCATTTAACCTTTCTTTCTCCCCATGTCTGTCACACGGCAGGGCACAGTTTCCATCCATTGGTGTTGTGGGGGCTGCTGTCAGCTGCCAATCAGAACAGCCAGGCGGGGGCGAGCAGGGATTTTGAATATATAAAAGGGTCTGGATTTGTTGGCATCCAGTGGGAGTAATCTTTCTTCACTTCACTCATTTCTTGTGGTGCCGGCCATCTTGTGATGCCTATCTTGTGCCTCAATCCATCTTCAATTGTTTCTTCCCCCTCCCCACCCTTGGAGTTTTGGATAATTTTCCCCCCTTTTTTTCCCCAATTCTTTTTGCTTCTGCTTGTGTCAACACAGCTTCTTTCGAATTCTTTTTTAGACTGCCATGCCTATGTTTTTGGAGGGTGGGGAGAATTTGAGGAAGAACTAAATCTTTGTCTTGAGCAAAGTTTTTCTAGCTTCAAGGGATAGTTCAAACCATTCCCTACTTATGGAAAGCTAGATTCCTGATGGGAAATCTCTGGTATTTATTTATTTATTTATTTATTTTGAGAAGCATATGGGCTGCAGGTAGGAAAGGCCCCCATCTTAGAGGCAAGCTAAGCTATCTAACTAGAATTAATTAATTAATTAATTAATTAATTAATATCCCGCCTATCTAGTCACTTAAGACCACTCTAGGTAGTGTTCTAGATGAGAGGCTGTCATGCGGGGGCCAACATTGGGTCAGCATCAGAGCAATCATGCTAAGATAGAGGAGGGCCACCTCCTTACTTTCTGTGAAGGAAGGCTGGCCCCCAGCTTTTCCTGTCCTTCTGCAAGCAGGCAAAGACCTTTTGCTTCAGGCAAACTTTTCCTTAATGGTGGTGGTTTGAGAGGGTTTTAAAAATGGATTATTTTGTTCTCTTTTTTTCAGCAGTGCACCTGCATTTTAAGAGGGAGTGTAACATCATCCAGTACAGGCGACAACCCTATTTCCTTGATCTGTCTTTCAACTGATCAGGAGCACCTCTGTCTTGTCGGGTTAAGTTTCAGTTCATTTGCCCAGTCCATCACTAACACCAGAATCTGATTTAGAATCAAGACAGCTTCCTTGGATTTAGGTGGAAAGAAAAGATAAGAGTTGGTTGTCTTCTGCATACTGGTGACACTGAGCTTGCTTGCTTTTCTTGGATTTTCAGAGAGGAACTGCGTTTGTGTGTTTTATTTAGATATTTTGTCCCGCGTGTTTATGTATGTGTGAGAGAGTGACTTTCTGTGTTTAATTAAGTTTAGAAAATAGCTAGTTGATGAATTTACAGCACATTTGTTCTGTTGAAGATGCATATTTTGGTGGGTTTGGTGGGAATGTTTCATTTGCTTCCACGGGTGGGTGTTAACTGTGATTGTGATGGACTTCCCTTGCCCCTGTGGCTTTGGGATAGTTTTTACAGATTCTTCAGGTTTTTTTTTTTTTTGAGAAGTGTAACAAATGGTTCCCCTTGACATTTTCAGTCCATTCGTGTCCGACTCTAGGGGGCGTTGCTCATCCCGTTTTCAAGCCGTAGAGCCAGCGTTTTGTCCGAAGACAATCTTCCGTGGTCACATGGCCAGCGTGACTAGGGAACGCCAATTTTTAATGAAATGACCTGAAATGACCTTTTATTTTACACAAATGTACTACTGCATGAAAAAAAAAACCACACACAGACATATACACACAAAAATAATAGGGTCGCAAAACAAGAATTACATTTTTCCATGCACATTCCTATTGATCGATTGGTCCACTGAAAGGCTGGCTGGCTGATCCACTAGCTGAAATCCTAAGTCACAGTCAAGCAAGCCCCTACGTTAGCATAAGAAGTCACAACTAATATAGGTGCATTTGGATAATTAGAACTTATGGAGGAACTGACACACAAAATCCACACTGATTCAACAATCCTACTCTGGTGAGACTTATTATGCTCAACAATGGGATGGCATCCAGTGATTCAATGATTTCAAAGATTTACGTATCCACTGTCTTTCATGAAACTCCAGAAAGAGTCATTTATATCAAAATGACAAGACAAATAATTTGAACAGCCAATAGAACCACAAGGAAAAGCTGAATATTTAGACATTATGACATTAAGTATACAGATATTGTAACAATAAAGAGCAATATGTATTGGAAAGTATTTTGGAATCCAAGAACGGTGCCAGGTTAAAACCTTCCTGTTCCTGAAGTTTTTTAATTGAAGTTTTTAATTGAAGGTTTTAATTTTAATTAATAAGTCATGGATCTAGATTGTTTTTGTAGATTGTTTTTGTGTTTGTTTTTTATTTTTGCTTTTGTAGAGTGGATGTGGCCGCATTGGTTTTTAGTGTCTGTTTTTAACTGTACTGTTTGAATTGATTTTGGAAGCCGCCCGGAGACTCTTGCAGAGTGCGGGTGGCATACAAGTCAAACAAACAAACAAACAAACCTTTTAAAAACCAACAAAGTGTAGGTCACATATAGAAAGAGCCCTACAGATAGACAAAGCTATCAGCAAAATGGTTCCTTCTGTTGTGTCTGTTAGTCTAACTGATGGACTTCCAGGAGTGACCTCCAGGTCCACCCATGTTCATATTGATATCGAGGGACTTTCAAATAACTTGATGCCAAATCATTTAGGACTTTAATAGTATCATCTTTAAATGAAGCCAGGCAAACTCCAACCAGTCTCAACACAATCCCAAATATGAAGTTCGGTTTTCTCTGCTACAGCACAAATCTTTCAGCTCATCCTCCTGAGACGGGAGGTCTGCTTCTCAACTCAATATTAGCTTTATCTCAAATGGATTTAGCATTTCTCTCTGCACTTAATTTTTCTCTTTCTCACCTGTTTGTTCCACAACTGTTGCCAACAACCGATGTGGCATCCTAGGTGGGACTTTCAGACTCGCACGCACCAAGTAATACCTAGAGAAAGAAGGTTTTGAGAAAAAGGAACACTATTATAGAAATGGCAGCTCTCCTTCGTAAGAGCAAACAAAAAGTGCAAACATGCTACATATGAGCTCTTAGCACCAAAAAACAACACTTTCCAATTCATCTTGAGGTGCTAATCTTGGAGCAAGAGGAGTATCAGCATTGGGCAAATAGTTACCTAAAAAACCAAAAACTGACATTGGAAATGGTAGTGGGTTTTTTGGGCTCTTTGGCCGTGTTCTGAAGGTTGTTCTTCCTAACGTTTCGCCAGACTGGCAAAACGTTAGGAAGAACAACCTTCAGAACACAGCCAAAGAGCCCGAAAAACCCACAACAACCATCAGATCCTGGCTGTGAAAGACTTCGAAAATACATTGATACTGAAAATGTTGGCCTATTTTGCAGGGTGGCAGGCCAAAGCACAAGAGAAGTGAACTGCCTATTTCACAGTTCAGGATGTGCCACATTTTCAGGATCAGAAGGGAAAATCCACAACAGTTCTTGATCCTTCTAAGTTGGAAGTCTCATTATTTATCTTCACCTCCCGGTAATCTCCTTACACTGTCTACAACAATGCAACATCTTCCACTATGATTAGAGATGGGGGAAAATACAACTAAGTCTCTTGCTTTCATTGATCTAGAGGACAGAATAAGATACCTTGGTGGGCAGTTTTGGCCCTTTCAGATCTTTGTCCAGTAGAGAGTGAAACATAGAGTAACCCCTGCCCAAGACCTCTGTAATTTACAAAAAATATCTATAGCGACCTTCCCCTTTGAAAAGTAAGACACATATGTACATGTAACACAGATATCAACAACAGGACTCACTGATTATTAAGAAAGATGCAGACAACCCATCCTTTGCTTCAAATTCTGAACAAAATAGCAGGGGGCCTTTGATGTAATATTTGCAGTTGTATGAACTGGGGACTTTTGTGCAAAAGAGAGAACATTGTGCAAAAAAATTGGGAATTTTATGAAAATTCTGCTCTCTACCAAAACTATGAGGTTTTTCCGTTCTTTCTCCTTACATGTGAGGAGATAAGTAACTAATCATCATGTAGGTTGAGAATGACCAGAGGGAAATAAGTATTCTGCTTCTTCATTCTTGAAAGTTTTTTTTCCAACTCAGCAATAGAACACGGAAGCAAAATCTGCAAAGTATTTTTGTGAAAGTGGTTGCTTCCCATCCAGAAGAAATAGAAGTTCAAGACAGGCCAAGGTTTTCATTTGTTTCTCAGTTGTCTTTGGTTTGGGGATAAAATTCGCTACATCGGGATGGTGAACTCAGGCCCTATTTGCAAATCCCACTCTTCAGGGGCCCTAATCTGACCATTTAGTACAGTGGTTCGCAAGGTGAACCCAAGTGTTCTCGGACTTCAACTCCCAGAAACCCCAGCGAACACAGCTTACAGTGAAGGCTTCTGGGAACTGCAGTCCAAGAACACCTGAGTTACCCAGGATTGATAAACATTGATTTAATATACCCCCAAACCCCATGTCTCCTTTCCCATGCCACTACTATTCTAAAACAGAATTTTTCTGTAATTTAAATGGGGGGCGGGAATCATTGGTAGCAACAAGAACCTAAAAAGAACAACAACAAACCAAGCCCACTAGATTTGGGGATTCACCTTTATGATTTTAGCCCCTCCCTCTGTCAAAATGTGGCCTCGACAAACTTCTCTGAAATGGAGGTTTGCCTGCAGGCTCAAATATGCCCTTTGTAGTGTTCTCCTCAGTGGACAAAATTAGTTGGATATGTAACTAGAGTTTCTTTGCCCAAGTGGAAAGCCCCTTTCCCATTTGAAAAGACCGCGTAAGGATATGAGGTGTCCATACTATTTTCCCATACTATAAAGCCTCAAATGTTTTTCCTGGTTTTCAAGCAGGAGGACTAAGACAGTAATAATACAAGAGAGAGGTTTTATTAGAAAGAGGAACTACTACATCTCATCCTCTACATATATTCAATCCAGAAACGCAAAGGTCAGAACAGGAGTCATAAATTGTCTATGCCAAAGGCTTCCAGGCGCTCTCATTGCTGGAGGTCAAATAGCCCAGAATGAGTTGGAAAAGACTCTCATTGCTGGTCAAATAGCCCAGAATGAGTTGGAAAAGCACCTAAGCTAGTGTGATTTGAATATCTCAGGCTTACAAATGGGACAATCATGTGGTTCCCCCTTTTCAAAACTTGGTTTTTTTTTACTTCCTGCATTGAGGCTCATACCTGGTTTTTACATGTTTCCCTTTTGCTTTTGCATTTTCCCACCAGACACACTTAGTTATGAGTTCTACCTCATTTAGGCAACCCCTCACATTGACTAAAATGTATTTGCCCATGCTACCACCTCTCCTGCCGCCACACTGCATCTGTACACTTCCAGATGTGCGCTTTTGCTTCTCAGCTTCAATGAATCCACTAGCTGCCAGACTGTTTCCGGCCACAATTCGAAGCGCTGGTTTTAACCTATATAAAGCCCTAAACAGCTTGGTCCAAAGCTATCTCAAGGACTGTATCTCCCATTAAGAGCCTGCTGAGGAGGCCTTTCTCTCAGTTCTCCTGCATGGAGCCATGCAGGAGAGGGCCTTCTCTGAGGCTGATCCCGGGAGCCATGTCGGAGAGGGTCTTCTCTGTGGCTGCTCCTAGCCTTTGGAACCCCCCCCCACAGGAGGCCAGACTGGCCCCCTCTTTACTGTCCTTCCACAAGCAGGCAGAGATCTTTCTCTTCAAGCAAGCTTTCCCTGAGTGAATGGCTGCTTGAGTGGTGTTTTTAAATGGATTGTTATGTATCACTGCTTTGACTGTGTTTTGAGTAATGTTTGTGTTTACCATTTCTCCAAGTTGTATTTGTTCCCTTTTAATATTTGTATATTTGTAACCATTTATTTCTAATAGGTAGTTATACATTTTCTTAAAGCAAACTTTCCCTGAGTGAATGGCTGCTTGAGCTGCTTGCCTTTTAGTTGTTTAAGACACCTTTGTATACTCATTTTTTTTTTTGCTTTAAATATTGTCTTTCAATGATGCAAGCCACCTTGGGTTCTTTTTAAAGAGAAAGGTGAGGTCTTTTGAACCTAGTAGGAGGTTATCAAATGTCGTTTGTTCTAAATAAATACCCTCTATTTTATCTTTCCTGTATCTAGATTCCAGCTGTGCTCCAGACCACCAGTCTATGTGAATATTCTGTGTCTCTAACTTTTCTTTAGACCTTAACGCATAGTCCTTTTTAGTAAATCTTGATATCTTAAAAATTTTTCTTTCGTCATATGTTCAAACCGGAAAAAAAATATTTGTATACCTATTATTTTTAGCTTCAATACTTAAAGCTGTCTTATAATGATATAAGCTGCCTTTTAACACTCATTGTTGACTTAATTATTGCCTTTTAGATGTGTAAGACACCTTTATATACTCATTGTTGTTGTTTTTTTGCTTTAGATATTGTCTTTCAATGATGCAAGCCACCTTGGGTTCTTTTTAAAGAGAAAGGTGAGGTAAAAAAAATGAAATAAATGAATTCATTTCTTCGAAATGTTTTATAAAGCTACCAAATGTGTGACTCTGTGGATTTACAAGGCAGGCCTGTTCCTGAGCAATGACTTTGCTGCATTGTTCACAAGTTATGTGCATCCAGAAATCACCTTTTATCAGTGGCAAGGTGTCTTCAACCACCACCATCCCATTGCATACACAGTGGTGATGCTGTCACCATCATCCCATTGCATACACAGCATCAATGAATTCTATTTTAAAAAAGGAAAGGAACTATCATAATTGCCCAACTGGTTCTCTACGGGAGCCAAACAAAATCTAAATCCCTGGCTCACAAAGTAGTTAGTGAATGAAAACCAAGGTCGGCTCATGTTGTGGTCATATCTCCAGTTCCCAGTGTTAAATAGTCTGGCATTTGAAAAAGATGAAAGCAAAACCAGCATTTTGCCTTGACACGGAAGACTTTATCATCCAGCAGGATGCCCCAAGAAACACAGTGGTGATCACAGCGTGTCATCACTCTCCGACGGATTGCAGCGGTACCACTCTGACAGCAAGCTTAGCCATTTGCCAGTAACAGATTACTCCAGTGGAGACTTTATTCCCCAACCATGTAGTAGAGGCCAGAGAACAGCCAGGAGAAGGAGTGGGGGAATGTATCCAGGGTTAGACCGAAAGGAGCATGTACTCACATAGGAATCAGCCAGGGCTCTGACACCTTCAAAGAGAGGCTTCAGTATCAGCCTGTCATCCTCACAGGTATGTTTGGTGGGGCCAGAAGACAAGACCTTCTTGATGGATGCTCTCAGACAGGAGCAGCTGGGTTGGCTCCTTTTCTATTGTTGTTCCAACAACAAAGTCCTTTTTATTGAGGCAGAAACAGTTGACTGGCTTTTTATGGATTAGGGATGCTTTTAAAAGTTAAATGTATTTTTAAAAACTGGTTTAGCAGTATAACATTCCATTCATTTTAATCTTTATCTATTACCATAATAGCTATTGTCCAGTTGCCAATATTCCCTTTATTGGCAAGCTGGTGGAGAGAGTGGTGGCCAACCAGCTTCAGGCTCTCCTGGAGGAGACCAATGCCCTTAATCTGTTCCAGTTTGGGTTCAGACCACATCATGGCATGGAGACGCCTTTGGTCACCCTGCAAGATGACCTCCTGAGGGAGGTCGACAGGGGCAAAACCTCCTTGTTGGTCCTCCTCAACCTTTCAGCAGCCTTTGATGCCATCAACCAGGGTTGGGGATCGGTGGTCTGGCCTTGGACTGGCTCTGATCCTTCCTGGAGGACCATCCTCAGAGAGTTCAGCTTGGGGAGATGTTCTTCGCTCCATGGACTCTCAACTGTGTGGTCCCGCAAGGGTCAATCATCTCCCCAATGCTATTTAATATCTATATGAGGCCTCTGGGGGAGGTCATCAGGAGTTCTGGAGCTCCATGTCACCAATATGGATGACACACAGCTCTATCTCTACTTCTACCCTTCTG